TGGTGGTGGTGGCGGTGACAGTGTCGGTTGTGGGGGGGTGATGGTGATCGTGGTGGCGCTGATGATCGTGGTGGGGAGGGTTAGGGTGGTGGTGGTGGTGGCGGCGGCGGCGGCAGTGTTGGTTGTAATGGGCCGACGGTGACCGTGGTGGCGGTGACGACAGTGGTGGTGACGGCGATGGTGGTGGCGGTGGCAATGACAATGTCTTCATTTGGCGATGATGCTGGTGATGATGAGGGGGGTGGTGGCGGTGACAGTGTCGGTTGTGAGGGGGGGATGGTGATCGTGGTGGGGAAGGTAATGGTGGTGGTGGTGGTGGTGGTGATTGTGGTGGTGACAGTTTTGGTTGTAATGGTCTGATGGTGATGATGGTGGTGAAGGTGATGGTGGTGGTGGCGACAGTGTTGGTGGTAATGGGGTGACGATGACCGTGGTGGTGGTGACGATCGTGGTGGTGACGGCGATGGCGGGGGTGATGACGGCAGTGATGGTGGTCCTCATTTGACGCTGACGCGAGTGATGATGGTGGCGGCGGTGATGATGCTAATGGGGACAGTGACCGTGGGGGCCAAGACCTGTGTGATGCTTGTTTCACGCCAGGCGTTGTGCTCTCCAAGGTGGGGACTGTTGCTGACCTCATTTTACCTACGGAGAGGCCGAGTCAGAGAGAGGTCCATAACTTGTGTCAGATCACATCGTTTGGAAACGGCAGGACCAGAATTTGAATCGTGGACCCGGGCGGTCTGGCACCAAGCTCAGAGCTCCTTGCTGCTCCTTGCTGCGCTCCGTGGTCATTTGAGGCAGATGGCGCTGTGGGCTTGGCCTTTCGCCTTCCCCTGCCCCTCTTCTTGGGAGGATGCCTTGATTAGGGTCCAAAGATGTGTCGGCTTGGGGTCAGTTGCAGACTCCTTTGAAACAAGGCTGAATCCTTAGAAAAATCAAGAATGGGCGGTAAGGATGTTTCGCGTTTGGTCTTTGCTCATTCGGGCTACTAAAGGGCAAGACAGGAGACGTCCAGAAGAGCGAAACTGGCCGGGATGTCACTCACCCTGCTCTCTGGGTCTCGGCTCTGGAGTCCTGTCAGGGTGGACACAAGCCAAAGCAGCCCTGGCATCCTTTCTCTACAACACTCCCAGGTTACAGGACCACTGTCCAGATACCTGGAGCCCATGTTCAGCTGCAGGTTGCCTAGCACCTCCAAGAGGCACAATTACAGGGGGCATGGAGCCTGGCAAGGTGGGCACGCCTGAGTTCTTGGAAGCTGAGTTGCCACGCTCCTTTTGTGTCACGCGATTTTTCTGCGTCTTGAGCTCTTGGGAGGATGGGGAGAGAGTTTCTGAGAAAGCTGTAGGCGAAGGCTGTTGTCCTCCCGTTCATTCATTGGCAACTTTGATCTCCCAGCCACATAACATAGCGTACAGGCTCCAGGGATTAGGATGTGGACATCTTGGTGGTGGTAGTGGGGGCATTATTCTGCCCACCACAATAATTTCTAAGTTTTATCCTCCACATTTAGGTCTATGAGTCATCTTTCAGTAATCTTTATGTGTAATATAAGGCAGTTCACCTTCTCCCACATGACATCGGGTGGACCCAGCACCATTTATGGAAAATTCCACCCTTTTCCCCATCAAGTCACAGTGGAGCCTTTGTTGTAAGTCAGGTGCTCATAACTGGGTGGTCCTTTGGATCTGGAGGTCCAGGGCTGTGCTGCTCAATGAATGCTGAACACCGGGTGAGGCTGGGTGGTATGGAAAGCCCTGGTTTGTAGTGTTTGCTGGTTTCTGTGAACCCCACTTCTGGTACCAATTTGCTGTCTTAGTCCATTTTGCCTTACTATGAAAGAAAACCTAAGACTGGGCAACTTATAAGGAAAGGGAATTTATTTCTTATAGTTAGAAAGGCTGAGAAGTCCAAAGTTGAGGGGGTGCATCTGGTGAAAGCCTTCTTGCTGGTGGAGACTCTGTAGAGTCTTGAGGTGCTGCAGGGAATCACACAGAAAGGACGTGCTAGCTCAGTTCTTTCCTCCTTTTGTAAAGATACTAGACCCATTCCCATAATAAACCTTTGATCCATTAACTCATTAACCCCCAAGTGGATGAATCCATTTGTGAACACAGAGTCCTAATGACCCAGTCACCTCTTTTTTTTTTCCCATTAATCAGTATTTTTTATTATGGTTTTGTGGGGTACAGTTAAGGGTTAGGTGTACAATTATGTTTCATTCAGGCACCCTGTTGATAAGAGGTGTTTTCCCATCCCCCAACAGATATTTTCTACTGTTAATCCCATCTCCCAGTCACCTCTTAAAGCTCTTGCCTTTCAATCCTGACATATCAGGGATTGAGTTCAACATAAGTCTCTCACCATGACCAATTTTAAGCTGCCAGCATAAAGTTAATGAGCTTGGAATCCACACAATTCAACAGATGGCTCTGTCGTCCCAGGCAGGGCTGGTTCTGACCCTACTGCATTGGTTGACTTACCTATCTTTGCCTCCAGATTTTATGTTGACTCTTAAAAAGTGAGACCAAATGGGCAAGATCTTTCATACACCTTTTTCCCCATCTGTGTAAAGCCAGGTCACTTTCAGTTGCCACCTGCACTGCCTCACATGTGCTGGACCCCTGAGTCAGTTTGGCCTCCTCGGCCATGGGGAGTGGACAAGAGCAAGCTGTGATACTTAGTGTGTGGCCACATCCCTCCAGCCTCAATTGAGCTGCTCTGCCGACAAAACAATGAAGGTCCTCTATGTTACTGAGCAAGTGTAGGCTCGATCGTGTACGTTTACTGAAAGGGTCCACTGAGGTGAGGTGGGCTGGTGCTGGTTCCCAGGCTGCAGGAATAATGCAAAATTGCAACAAGGAAGAAAGTAGAAAGAAGTAAAGTTTTATTATTCACCTCTCACAGATCAGCTCAGAGGCAAGTGTGGCCGGTAGGGCCAAGAAATAAGTCGAATTTAAGGGTCTCTAGGGTAAAGGGATTTTGGCCCCAGGAGTATCCAGGGCTGTGGGTCTTTGATGTGGATTGTAGTCACATGAGTCTTAGATCTTGAGGTCGCCAGATATTAGCATCTCATGCCCTCAGGTGGTGGGCTAGATGGGAGGAGACCAGGGGAGGGGTTTTCCTGCAAGAGACTCTGTCAGACATTTGCAGTCTGCAAACTCCTTGACCAAAAGGTGGTTTATGATCTCTCTGCGGCTCTGTCCTTGTCTTGCCTTTGATGGAGATTTGCTGAGGGGGTGGGGTAGGCTGCCGCTTGGCCTGCAGCAGAATGTCTGAACACCTCCTAGAACCTGCCTGTTGGAAATTTATCAATGTCTCACCTGTGCTAGATTCAAAGTGTGTCAGGGGCAAAGCCTAAGCAAAAACGGCTATGCTGAGGCAAAGAGCTGACGCTCAACCAAGTTTATTCTAGGTTTCTGGAGGTGCCTCCTTTTGTTTGATGCCATTTGCCTGAAGGCTTTGTCCAGCCAAGTCAATGGAGTGGAAGAGTATGGAGACACACATTTGCCTCTGCTCAGTGCTTCCTGATGCTCGGAGCAGAGGCAAGGCACCCACGGGACGGGAGGGTCAGGGAAGCTGAGGCCCCGGCCTGAAGGTCTCAAGGACGCCTAGCCCAGAGAAAGCTGTACTGGGCGCTTAGAGGCACCACATGGAGTCAGGGGAATGTCGGCTCTTCTGAAGGGCGGGAGGACGTCCGACTGGAGGGTTCCTGTTTGCTCTGGAGCTGGAGCCGGGGCCATCAGGGGCGCCATTCTTAAGTCCAGTGACGAAGGCCTGGACAAGGCGGGTGACAGGCACAGAGGCCTGCCTGCTCCACTGCTGGGGCTCTGGTCACTGCGGGCTGTCTCCCCTCCACAGTTCAGGCACCGAGCGAGGCCCCGGGCTCCCCGCCTGCGAGGCAGTCACGACTGGTGGGGGGAGGGAAGGCTTCGAAGGCCACGGCCAGGCCTGGTGGAGCCGCTGGAGCGTCTGAGTGCACCGCCCAGAATGACCCCCACACAAGCCATGGACACCTGCCATGGCCATGCCACAACTTCCCTCCCCTGGGAATGGGGTCTTCTGGCGCGTGGTGGCCGGCAGTCCCAAGCCAGGTGGGCCTAGGCCCCCGTGCCCTGTCCTGCAGGGTGTCTCTGGGTCTGCACCCAGGGAGAAGGAGACACTTCAGTTAGCTGGGGGGGGATTTCCTGTGAGGGGAGGTGGGAGAGGGCGTCCCACGAGGCTGAGGCTGAGAGCCGCAGTCTGTGATGCAGGCCTGAGTCCGGGAGTGAGAGGGAGGGAGGGGTGAAGGGAGCGAGGGCTGGAAGGAGGAGGGAGATGGATCCCTGGCACTCCGGGCCGATCTTCGTCTGGCTCGGCGCCACTGTCCTTGGCGCCCTCACAGCACCAGGCATCCCCTGGGCTCAGTCCCGTGTCTTCCAGGTGGCTGCCGTGGTCGGCTCCAAGTGTCAGGGGGTGATGCGATACGCACAGCCCTGCCCGGAGTCTTCAGCGAGTTCTGTGCCCCAGCCTGTGCCCGGTACACGTTGGGCAGGGAGGGAGGGCAGGGTCTCATGGCCAATGGCGTACACCCCTGAGCTAAGGAGAGCGAACCCTGCAGCAGCCAGGGAGTCAGGCTGCAAGCCTGGGGGCGGGGAGGCAGCCAGGCACTTCTTAGAGGGGAGGGGCTTGGGCTGGGCACTCCCATCTTTCGGGGACACTTTCTGAGACCTAGTCTCCGGGTAACAGGCCAATCCTGGTGCCACCAGCGGGGCTGCATTGGCCATACGCAGGCCACCTAATCAGGCCTCTCCGACACCAGAGCCATCGGCTTCAAAAGGCTCCTGCACAGAGGACCCCAAAAAGTGATGTCTGTGCAAACCAGGCTCCACCACCGTTGCACGGGAGAAGTCACAGCCTTGTGCAAGGCGCCACAGAACAAGAAAATATGTTATTTGGCCACCGGAGGGTGCTGCTGGTCGACCTTGGAAATCCCGTCTGCGGAGCCCGGAGTGATGCCCTGGGGCGTTTGGAGGCCTCCTTCCGTGAAGAAGCCGCTCTGCCGGGCGGAGAGTCCAATTCAGGTTTTAAGAAGTAAACACACACGCCCCAGGGAATCCCCGAGGCGGACTCCCAGAGCCACGGGCTGTGTTCTGGGAATCATGGACGCCCGGAGCTGTCGCATCCTGGCCTGGGCCAGGGCAGGAAGGCTTTGACTCAGATGAGTAGCTAAGACCCTGGGGGCGTCGGGCAATCCCGGGGAGGGGTGGAGGGTAGAGGCCAGGGACGCTACCCAGCGTCCTGCAAAGCACAGGACAGCTTTGTCCCTAAAGAATTACCTTGACCCAAACGTCCACAGCCCAAAGAGCAATTTTCTCTCCAGGTGGGAGAGGCCTCTCCTGGCTGTGGTGCAGGTGCGGCTTGGCTCGAAACAGCTGGATGTTCTTACCATCCAGGGGAGAAGCAAGTGCCCCCAGGGACATTCGTCCTGCAGGGCGGGGCTGCAGCCGCCCCACCCGTGCAGCTGAGGGCGGGGCAAGGCCTCCCTCCCACGAACTCCAGTGCCCTAGAGAAGACACAGCCCAGGTCCTCGGTCCTCAGGGTGGGGCGGGGCAAGCCGGTGGGCCAGGGGTCCCAGGCCTGCCTCAGGGACGTGAGGCCAAGACCCAGCCTTCCCCCTCCTCCCAAGGTGGCTGAGCCAGACGCTGCTGGCTGAGCCAGAGTCAAGAAGATACGGGAACCAGGGCTTGGGCCTGATGAGGACACAGTGGCAGCCCATGGCCAGGGGGCACGGGAGAGAGAGGACAGGGGCCAGAGGCGGCAGGGTGTGTGTCCCTGTCCTCTGGCCGGTACACGCGGGGCAGGGTCGGAGAGCAGGGTCTCAAGTCAAATGCCATCTTCCCCTGAGCTAAGGAAAGCAAAACGATGATCCCTGCAACAGTCAGGGAGTCAGGCTGCAAGCCTAGGGGAGGGGAAGCCGAAAACACCAGCAACCCTGGAAACCCCCACTGGGCGGCATTCCTGGGAGGGCCCGGGCTGCAGGGAGACAACCTCCTGCTCAGGGAAGGCAGTTCCAGGCAGCGTCAGGACACACGGGGCTAGGGCACAGAGGGCCAGGGACGGGAGAAGGAGGGAGACAGACCCCGAGGCGTCCAGCCGGGGCTGAGGTTGAATGAAAAGCAAACTCGCAAAGACACGTTCCCAACACCAGGACGCCCGGTTTGCTCAGGCGATAGGGCCTGTCGTACTCGTGTGCGCTTCTTGGCACCCTTCCTCATGCCTCTCATGACGAGCCCGAGGCCGAGTGGAGACCCACTGCCCTCTCTGTCCACGGCGTCTCTCACGGCTGCGCGCGCGGGGGGGGGCGGTTTCCGCGCCCTGGATTGTTCTTTCTCCCTTTTTTTTCTGTTTTCTTTTTGAGTTGGAGTCTCACTCCTTCGCCCGGGCTGGAGTGCAGTGGCACGCACGCTCACGTCGACCTTCTGGCCTCCCGCAATCCTTCCGCCTCAGCCTTCCAAGTAGCCAGAACTCCAGACGCACGCTACCACGCCCGGCCACTTTAATTTTATCTTAGAGATGAGGTCTCGCCAAGTGGCCCGGGTGGGTCTCGAACCCGCGGTCTCAGGCCACCCACTCGCCTCGGTCTCCCAAAGTGCTGGGTTGACAGGCTGAGCCGCTGAGCCCGGCCATCTCCCTTTCTTTCAGAGACAGGATCTTGCTGTCACCCAAGCTGGAGTAGAGTGGCGCGATCACAGCTCACGGCAGCCTCGAACTCCTGGGCTCAAGGGAGCCTCCCCCCTCGGCCTCCCAAGGGGCTGGGAGGGCAGGTATGAGCCATCGCGCCCAACCCCAGCGGCTCTGGAGCTACACGTTGCTTCTTCCTTTAGCAACTTCCTCGAGTTGTCGCCGTCACCCGCGTCGCTTTCTTGCTGACTCAGCCTTTTGCTGCTGAAGACACGGAGGAGGTGTCGCGGGTTAGAAGGCCGACCCCGTGCCTGCCATGATGCCACCCCTTATCCAGAAAGGGCAAAGGCAGCAGCAGGTGACCAGAACAATTTTCACTGTCCCACGGGTTGTCGGGAGACAAGCAAAACCCCTAGCTTCCCCCCTGCTGGGTGAGAGCTCACCCCAGTGCCACGGCGGAGGTGCTGGGACTGAGCCAAAGCGCGGTGGCTGGTGCCAGCCTTGGTGGAGGAGGGGACTGCCCAGTCCTCCAGGCAGTCCCCTCCTGCCCGGATGGGGAGGGATGGTGGGTCATGGCCCCGCTGGCCAAATAGGACCCGAATGCTGACACTGACAGTCACGGTCATGGCTACTACTGCTCACACCTGTCATGTCCCAGACCGTCCCATGAAAGCCTTCTCGAGGAGGGCTGATTTTTCCGCCACCTCCCACACACCCCCCAGACAGTAATCCGAGGACCCCGCTGTACCCCAGCAATCCCGAGGGGTGGTCCCTGGAGGCGGGGTCCTCGTCGTGGGGTGCCCCCGGGTCTCCTCTCTCCCGGGGCGGAGGCTTCTTCTTTTTGGTCCTTAGGAGCTTCTCTGTGGGAGACAGAGGAGTGAACCCAGGCTTGGCCCCGGACTTCAGACAGGTGGCCACTTCTCCTGGCCCCACATCCGCCCAGCCCGACACTCCTGAGCCCCCTCGTTGGGCCAGGCGTGCATTTGGTGCCTTCTGCTGTTATACCCATTCCACTGTTAAGGAAACCGAGGCGCAGGAAGGTGGCGTGCTTTCCCCAGCCCGCAGAGTTGGCAAGTGGCAGAGCTGGGATTGGAACTCAGGTCTGCCGGGCTCCCACTGGGTTTCCACTCCACCCAGCTGACTTTAAGACTTAAGGAAGCAGGGCACCCCTTTGGGTTCCCTCCCACTATGGGGGCTTTTCTGTCCTCTCAATAAATCCTGCTTTCTCAAAAAAAAAAAAAAGACATAACAAAGCAGCAGGAACTGAAAACATGGCGCCCGCAAGAGAGCTTTTATTTTAACGGATCTCGGTGTCTTTACACAACCTCTGAGTCACTCTCCCAGGACCAGGTCAGGAAGCTGTCGCTGGCAGGGGGTGGAGGACTTATTATCCTCACTTCACAGACAGGTAAACAGAGTCAGAGATGAGACACAGCTAGTGGGTGACAGCCCAGGAACTGGAATAACCACTTGCCAGAGAGCAAAGGGCCCTGGGGGTGTCCTAGCGGAGCCCGTTCGTGGACAGACAAGGACACGAAAGCCCAGAGAGGCGAAGTACGATGCCTAAGGCCACACAGCTGGTCAGTGGCGAGAGTGGGACTCGAGCCCCTCTCTCCTGGAGTGCTGCCATTGGAGACTCACCGGGTGGCCCGCGCTTGGTGGGGAGCAGCTTGCTTTCAGGGAGGGGCACTCGCGCCAGGGCCGCCAGCTCAGAGACGAAGTTCTGCTCGGCTTCCTGGAAGGCAAACAGATCCGCTGGCCTCCCTCTGTCTTCCTCCCCCTCTCTGCATCCACCTCCCCCAGGATGAAGCCTGGAGCTCTTGTTTTGTTTTGTTTTTTGAGTTGGAGTCTCACTCTGTCACCCAGACTGGGGTGCAGCAGCCGCTCCCGGCCGCCGCAGCCTCGACCTGCAGGGCTCTGGTGATCCTTCCACCTCAGCCTTCCAAGTAGCCGGAACTACAGGCGCGTGCTACCACACCCAGCTAATTTTTTGATTTATCATAGAGATGAGG